CATGCACACTTGGGGATCGGATACAGGGCCGGATTTACCCACTTGCCGCCCATGGGCCATCTGTATTTTGCCGCTCCCTTCTCATTCGTTTTGAAACATCAATAAAAACCATCAAGTGAAGTACCGGAATGGGAGGGGAGGGGTGCATAAGACGCATTTACTCGTGTTGAACACATTTTTTGGGAAAGCACTGTCAACTCTATTGGAAAAATTCATGGAACTTTGCGCGAAAGTAATGTTTCGTAAACATATCTCTGTGTGAACAAGGCCTTCCATTTGTAAGAAATGAACGTTAAAATTATGCAAGAAGAAACATAAATGTGGTTTAATAATTTTAATCTCCGCCGCGCCGCGCTGACTACACCGTTTTTGACGCAATGCGTGAAGTATTCCTGCAGTTTTGTAGGCGCTATGCGTTTCACGCCGACCGCTGCTGACCGCACTGTGTTCGACGCAATGCGTGAAATATTCATGAAGTCTAGTAGGCGCTATATGCGTTTCACGCTGACCGCACTGTTTTTGACGCAATGCGTGAAGTATTCATGCAGTCTTGCAGGGGCTAATATGTGTTACATGCCGACATCCGCGCTGAGGGCTTCTTCTTTACATCTCAAGTCCTATTTAATCATCAAGTCCTATTCATCATCATTGCTCTCTGCGCCGCGTCGCTCCATACCAAATTGTGTGTTTGGTTTCTCTCTTCACCCGACTAATTAAAGGTCGACTCTTGTGTCACCGAAAGACGCTTTTCTCGTTTATAATTTTTTTTTCTGAATCCGATTTTTTTTATACCTATATTTAAAAAAATTGCAAAATTTGCTGCCCCTAAATTTGCCGCCATGGGCCGCGGCCCATGTGGCCACCCCCTTATTCCGGCCCTGATCGGATACGTCAAATATAATCGCAATGCCCTGCTCTCTTTGTTTTGTGTTCTCCTTTTTACCATTTCATATCACTTGCCAATACAATAACTCACAATCAGTCCTTTTAAGAATGCGACTTGAATCCTTGCTGAGGAACTAAGACCATTTCTTACTCTAATCTATCAGCTCATTTTGTCACGCTTTGCAACACCGATGGCTAAAATTAATAAAAAAAAAACCCTCAGGTTAAGACGTTGTAAGTCAGAGTCAAAGTTTCGTCTTTGAAAAGAAAACCAACCTACCGTTTCTTCTGATAGTGATATTGTGTGTGAATTTTCTTCACTGTTTTCAAAAAATAAAATAAAAAACCTTTGAGTTGCAAGGAAGCATTTGGATTAGATTTTCTGGAAGAAAATCTTCATTATAATCTTTCTTGCACCCTACATGTTCATTTTTTGTCCAGTTCGTTCTACCGTTCTACCGTTCTACTGTGCTGATTACCATGATTTTGACGGTTATCGCCAGGTGATAGTGTTTAAACGAGTCCACTTCTCAGACTTTGGAAATGTGCTCTAGGTTTTTTTGAGAGAAAGTTGTGGATTCTCCCATTTAAATTTATAGCAAAAAATGTTCATTTTTCGTCACAGTTCGTCTTAAAGATCTACCGAGCCGATTTTCATGATTTTGCAGCTAATGATAGAGGATGGTTCGTAGATGTGCCCATTGATAAGATTTATTTAGATTAACTCACGAGGACCTGCAAAGTTGACCTCAGACGGTGCTGGCGTAGAGTGCCCTCTGGGGATTGAGCCGCTTAACGGCCAGGGGGTTAGGGCACGGAGGGGCATGATAGCCCCCTAGTAAAATATAAACGCATTGCAACTGAGACACGCAATTGTCGCATTTAGCCATCGATGATGTTGTGTTCCAGAGAACAGTAACATTTTTACCCTAAAGACTTCGGGTCGGGTGCGGTAATACATAGTGCAAATTAAAGATGAAACTTTTACCAAAGACGTGTTGCATGCACCATTGCACCATCCTTGTAACAACCCTGGTAAAAATTGGCAGTAGAATCTGTGTTCCAAAATACCATAGACCTACAGCCGGCTGTAGGATTTCCAATAGCTCCTATAGCCGGCTACACAATTTCTTATAGCCTTTTATAGCCAATGGCGATTAAGCAACAGCCAGGCGATAAAGTGTATGCTAAACGTTACTAATTACGCGGATGCTAGGACTTAGTGAGTTTTTGGAATACTGCTCTCTTTTTGGGCCGTAGTATCTTGATTTACTTTGCGAGGAAAGCTCCGTACTGTTAATGGATGCCTGCCATTACTAATATATTAGAGCGCCTTCAGTTTCGTATGGTACTGTGCAATACCTCTGGTGTGAAATAGTTGCTTCAAGCGCTGCGCTGCACGCTGCGGTGCGGCAGGCGGGCAGCCAGCGCGGAACGCGCATTGGTGCCTACAAACCTAACAGGGATACTTCACGCGTTGCGCAATGCGTGAAGTATCCCTGTTAGGTTTGTAGGCGCCAGTGCGTCGCCGCTCCGCTTTGTGTTAGGCTCTAATATTTAATCTGGCGGAGTCAGCGTTATTCAACTAAGGATTTTGAAATGTTTGCACATCCTGTATGGATTATTGTCATTTTAATTGATGAAAAAAAAATATGTATTAAAGGAAAATGTAATGTGTGTTTTGTAAATATTAAGATGGTTCCGTGTCAAACTTAATGATTTCCAAAAGCACACGAATTTCTGCACAATTGCTTATAGCTTTTTATAATCGATGGCGAAAAAGCAACAGCCAGGCGATAAAGTGTAAAGCCCGGCGATAAAGTGTAAAGCCCGGCGATAGGAACTATAGCCCGGCTGTATAATTTTTTATCGCTTCGTGTAGCCCGGCCGTATGATTTTCCACTTTCTACAGCCAGCTACATGATTTTCTATCGCCTTCTTCAGCCGGCTATAAGAATTCCTATGGTATTTTGAAACGCAGCTCTTATCGCCAAATTTTACCAGGGAATGCAAAAACTGTTGAAAAATTGATAAAATCAAAAAAAAAAAAAATCAATTAAACTTGGTTATCTCATTACGAAGGTACGTACTTGCTTTCAAATTCAAGTAAAAAAGTCTCTAAAGAGAACTATCGTAGAATTTCCAAAATTTTTAACCTCTCGTAAATTTTACGCTAAAATATATATCCAATGAGGATCACCTTCATCGTAATAAACATTCTTTGTAGAGAGATGTCTATTCAAAAATCAGCGCGATACTGTATAATTAGTTAATTTTATTTTGTTTTCAAATCCGATTTTATCCAAGTCTGCTACTTCGATCACGGTGCTCTCATTATGTAAACTCATTGCTGTTAAATATGGTCAAAAATGTCGAATGTTTCCAAAAATTTTATATTTAGTTATGCACCTATTCTAAAATGTGTTAAAATTGTTCAACTTTATGATGTGACTTATGTGCCTGAAAATGAATCTTTGCATTCGGAAGGTCCTCGCACCATGAAATAAATGTATAACAAGGTATAAAGGCTATTCATTCTTCTTATTCTTATTTATTCAAAAATTGTCATTGTTTTAAAAAAAATTTAAAGTCGTTGCAAATGGAGACCAGGTCTAAGTTCGGTTCCTTGATAAAATCCTCAGGCTCGCAGAGCGGGGTCCTGAAAGGCCCGCTTCGAAAGGTCCTTCGGGTCTTGAGCACCAACGGCCCAAAAAACCGCGACTCGGTGATTATTGCTTAAAATCAGCTCCGAAAGCTCCTGGCACGTTTAGATCCGCGACTGAGTGCTGCGTTGCCAACTCAAACCGAAGTAATGTACGTAAATCATTGTCGTGAAACAATAGGGTATTGGGCATAGATGTGGCATGCATGCGTGGCCGGCGCTGGCAGGTATCCTAGCGTGTGTGAGCAGTACTTTCTCCAGGCAGGCCCAGGTAGACTTTAGTCTTTATCCTCGCTCCCTCCCCTCCCTCCATCGCGGGCCCCGTCCCCCTTTCACCCATCCCCTGGTCCTCGCACGGTGATGCCAAATTTCATCCAATGTTTACTCTTGCTTCAAAAGACCCTTCTTGTGGCTCTCAAAGCCGGTGCGTAGAAAAGCTGTTTGTACGGGGAAACGCTTCGATGCGTGTTTTCCGATCAGTTTATGCATTTTACGTATTTTTGTAATTTTAACCAATACTTATACTGAGGCATCACTTGATATTTATATCGATAGTTACGTGTTTTTTTACGATTTTTTAAATTTTACCTTAATGACATTTTTATATTAGAACAGGTAGATGTTCAAAATTATTCAAAATCAATGTATAAAGTTATTATTACTCTTTTCCGCAAACAAATAAGTGACCCTAGTGGCTCTGTTGTACCTTTTTTCTTCTTCTTCTGAAGAATTCTTAAGATCGATTCAGAAGGAAAACAATTTTCAGTATTTTTCAATGTACCCAAAAATGCCTAACAGCGTTGAAACTCAGGCATTTGGCATTTGGAACAGAGCAGCGGGTCTCTGAAGTTTATCCAATTCTTCCGTGGTTTTTTATATATTTTTTTTTTTTTTTTTTTTTTTTTTTTTTTTTTTTTTTTTTTTTTTTTTTTTTTTTTTTAAGTGTAAAATGTAGCGTATCTTAAAATATGCGTTCTTAGCGGCACACATAAGGAACAAGACAGTTTTCCCGCTTGTTCGCCGCCACGGTTGCAGCAGCAGTGCACTCGCACTACCCTACGCCGCATCCGTGTCGCATCGTGTCAGATGAGAAACGCCGCATTTTCATTCGGTGAGGGGGAAGGGGGTGTTGATTTGGACTGTATTTTGCAATTTGGAACTATAAATTCTGGCTCCTCTAGAAAAACACTTGTGTGCATAGAGAAACTAATGGCACATACGTTGTTTTTAAACCGGGCTAGAATCAATAGGTCCAAATTGCAAAATGTAGTCCATTTGATATTTTTAAAATTCTTTGACAAGTTTTATCTGTTTCAAATTTGCTGACGGTCACTTCTCCTGACCAAGAAGGAATGCATATTATTATCGACGGAGCGGCACCACTGTCGGCGCGCGTCGCGGTCCGATCAGTCCTCAAGTTATGGGACCCAAGACTGGAACTCAAACGCGGACGGGCGGCTCCAACGTGCAGTCAGTCTCCAAGTGAGCAAGTGAGAGTTATCTCGGCCATTACCTAACCTAAGCGTTCTCCTGTGTCGTGCGTTTTCCTGTGCCCGTGATTTTTTCGGGGATGTGTGTCTAGTGTTTCGGGTGTGCGTCTTTAATGCGTCCCGTGTCCCGGTGCGAAGCGACTGAGTGTTCCGGTGGTGTTGCCAGTGGTTGAGATTGTTTGTTGTGCTTCTTCCCGCTCGTTCTCGGAACCATGGAGGAGTCGCAGAAGAAGGACGCGGCCGCCCAGAAGGAGAAGATCAAGAGGATGTTCAGTTGGAGTGACAGCATAACGTGAGTCCAGGACGTTTCCTTCTGGATGGTTGAGCTCGGAAATGACAGGTCTCGATTGCAACACTGGAAAAAAAACTCCGGCCCTGGAAGCCGTACTAACTGGATATATAGGTACACTGAAAAAAAATTGTCGGTGTATTTACTAAGAAAAGGGTAAAATTGCCAAGAATTCAGGGTTCTGTTTGATCCCAGTTTTTTCTTGGTAAAATTACCAGTTATGGAATTGGTAATTTTACCGAGAAATCTCGGTAAAATTACCAATCGGTGATTTTACTTGACCTTGGTGAAGACGCCAATATTTTTTATCGACTGTGGTAGAATTACCGAGATAAAATGGCAAAGTTACCGGGAATTGATTACCAATAAAAGTGGTATTCTTACCTGAAAAAAAAACAGTAAAAATACCGGTTTTTAGGTAAGCTTACCAGTTTGTCTTGGTAAAATTACCAATAGTTGGTAAAAAAAGTGAGATGGTAAAGGTACCAACGGACCTTGGTAAAAACGCCGAGAATTTTTTTTTCAGTGTATACCGTCCAAGTTCCGGGCTCAGCGGCCAAAAGTTCCGGGCATAGCACCCGGAGCGAGCGAAGCCACGGCTCCAGCACTCGGAGCAAGCGAAGCTACGGCTCCAGCACCCGGAACTTCCGGCCTTTGAGTCCGGAACGTACGGTATGTCTAAACGTCTATACACGGTAATCCAGAGTTGAACGGCCAGACTACAGGAGTATGCTCTATGGGTCAAAAGAAGAATATTTTCTTGTATAAAGTTTTTTCCAAAAGTGCCCCCAGTCGGAGCTACGGCCCCCAAAATTCCAAATTGTCACCAATCGAAAAAGTGGTTTCCGAGTTCGGCCATGGCTTTGTTTATTTTTTTCGAGGCGCAACTGGAAAGTTTGAAAGCCGCTCTCTTAATAGAAGGGTAGAGTGGAAAATGTAAAGGCTGAAACTTTTCCACTAACAACCACTAGATATTTTGTAACTGTTTTGGCAGTATTTTGAACAACAATCCTATGCACTATATAGGTACATTTGGACGAGCGTCTTTTCATCGGAATGACATTCAAATTACTAACTTCTTTATTTATCTCCTGATCATTAGGACTTGTAAATGAGCTGGCACAGTAGTTGAAAAAAATCTTCTCCATTGACAGGTACATTATATTCCATGTTGGTGTGTCCAATTATCAACGCCTAGCGTTACAATCAGTTAAAAATCGTTAGGTACCGGTCACTTGGTGCATCCTCCTTATTTCGTAAATTTCGCGCCCACCTTCAGTTTGAACCTATCCCTTCAAGGGCTCTATACTGCCGTACTAAGGAAGAACGCCGTGCGAACATTCGAGAGTTGCCAAATTTCCCCTCGATAAAACATGTATTTTTGACGACATTCATGCATATTTTTCCTTGGAATGTTCAGATATTTTAGATTAAATCGCGTACAAAATTGCCTGAGCATTTTGGAAAAAATATTCAAAATTTTACCAGGAAATTCGGTTTAAATCGAAGGAAACTTGGCAACGTCTAAAGGCTCATACGACATTTTTCCTTAGCACGGCAGTATAGGAAGCAATAACTCTCCGAGTAGCGAGTTTCGCAAAAATAGACGCTGCTTGGCCTCTGCCGGGCGTACCCCTCCTTTTGTGTAACGAGAAAAAAACTCATATCGATGGTGGAACTACGATAAAACGTACCGTTCTGTACGACGTCGTGTCGTAAATCAGTCGCGGTCTACTTTTTCAAAAACGACGGAGAATCGGTGTCGCATAAAATTTCGCGTGATTTCGCTTTGTCCTTTGAGGAAAAAGCCCTGAAAAAACTGGGAAAGAGTGTCAAAAGATGCCCACTTTTTTCAAAAAATAAATTTGAGGTGAGGTTTTTGAAGTCTACCAAAAATCGTGATTTTGGGCTGTGTATCCGTCCACTACATCGCTCTACTCAGCGGATCTTATGGCCAGTCCCTGTCTCATTCAAATGTTGTCAACTTTACTGCCGTACACAGCAAAAACGCCGTGACTCCATTCAAAAGTTGTTCCTTTTCTCCAGCACGTACTGCTCTATTACAAAAAAAAATTGAGTTGCCACAAGGCTTAATTTTTTCATTTTTAGTTCCTAGTGGTATGGCGAAGTTGTATTGAAAAAGTGAAGGATAAATATTTGTTAGGTTTTGTGTAAAACAGCATTTTGTTCGGAAAAATTGCAACATATTTGTATGGAGATACGACGTTTTTACTTTAGTTGGCAGTTAATGTTTGAGAAAATGCGTATGTTTTTAGGGAAAGCATTTTATATTTGGTGGAAGGCTAAGTTCTAAAGCTCATACGGTGTTCTGCCTTAGTAAGTATGTCGGAAAAGGACGAAAAGGCTTTGGCGGTGCATTCCCGTTTCACCGAGAGGCACGTATATTGAACTATTGCGCTCAATTTGCGAGGAGCACCGTTACTCTCCCATTATCCTCGCACTCACACTCCCGAACTTTTGACGACAACTTTCATGTCGGACATATGTCTGCATCCGCGCAAAGAGAGCGTGAACTTGGAAATAAGACCGAGATTTGCATTAAAATAACGATTGACAAGTAACGCGCAGAGAAAGCAGGCTGCGCTCGACGTTAAGGGTCAGCTGCGAACTTCCGAGGTAAACGATTGTCAATTTAAGCGGCAAAAACCAATTTTTGTAGGACTCTTACATCTATCATACCCCCCCCCCCCATTTATCGTTGAGAACTTCCTTTAATTATTTTAATCAATGATCGCTGCTGCAAAGTTTAGGAAATTTAATTTTTTTAAACATGCGGAGGCGGCGCACCTACGTACACGGTTTTGACTCGGAACCAATAGAACCCTTAGAACTTCTGAGAGGAAGTGGTGTGGAAATATAAAAAGTTTTATTCCGACTCGAAGAAGTGGCTCTTGAATTCGTTGCGCATATAGCTCTGAATTAACAGTTTTATACATGTATTAACTGAACCACATTTTGCGATTTGGAACTATAAATTCTAGCTTGGTTTAAAAACAACGTAAGTGTCATTAGTTTCCCTAAGCACATAAGTGTTTTCCCAGAGGAGCTGGATTTTATAGCTTCAAATTGTAAAGTGCAGTCCAACTGTGCGGATTTAGCAAGAATCAGCCCACCTGTATCATATATGATTTATAATTTCGTCTCTCATTTTGTTTCGAAAAATCGAACTGTACATTGCTTTGAAGCTTCCTCTGAATTTTCAAAATGTAGGTTATAAATAATGTGGTCACAAAATTTTAAGTCGAAATTTTGCATAGTTATTTTTGTGAAAATTAATCGCGTGAGGGAATTTGACAACGTCTCGTCTAGTTAGAGCTATTCAAGTTAAACTCGACCAATAAATTGTGGGTAGGATTGGTGTACGCTCATGTATTGTCATAGTGACTTGTCGGATACCGGTAATTTGATGTGTGGCTCAATCATTTGCACTCAAAAACTCATTAAATATCACATCTGCGGCACGGTAGAAGGTAGTTGACTGCAGTTTCTCTGTCGCATTACAACTGCTAAATGGGGTTTTTCTGTCATACATTTACAAGGTGCAAAAAATAAAGCTCTTATTTTTTAGATTTCCGGGCTATCAAATTTGATCCATTATTGCCCTTTAATTAACCTTCAAAAACCGGCTCGGAATTCTTTGTTTTAAAATCAGTCCGTGTGTCTTGCGTCTAATTGTTTGCGAACTGGCGAGGAAATAAAACGCAAATGAGTAGCTATAGAACCAGGGTTGCCAAAATAATCTTCAGAACGAACTATTCTCGCGCGTATGACCGTAAGCTTTGTAAGTGCAGCTGACAAACTGCACTCGAAGAACTGATTTCAATTGGTCACCGAGATACACTTTGTAGAAAATAAATCTTCACATAGGTTTGCAGCACGGAAATTAGTTTCCGGGCTACTTTGAGAACTACCTTCCGAATGGAGATGAGGATTGTTATAATAGAAAATTATATGAAATCCTCGGTAATCAATATTCAAAACGTCATTGTTATGCGTCAACTTTCAATCATTAAGAAACAAGAAAAAAAATTTCTGATGTCAAATATCAGAATTTTCTCGTTGCAGTTTCGTTGAAAACTCGCATTTCTACTTTTTACGTGAGTTTTTCTTTTAGAAGGCAACATACGCAGGCAGACATGTATTGCTAAATTGCGCAACATTGGTATGCGAGGGCAAACACATCTCCCCCCCCCCCTTTTTACTTGTCGTTTCATAGCTTTTTTTACGATTTCATTGGGCTTTGGCGCCGTTTGTATTCATAATTTTGAGGTCTCATAGGTTGTTTCATGAGGAAAAGTTAAATACTGAGGCATCCTTTGGCCATCGAGAAACCCGGAAAATGACGTCCTTGATGGGTGTATCGGTCTATCACTTACGCAGATTCCTTTAAGTTGTTCGCTTTGTTGATGTGTAAATGCATAGCCGTCATCTTTGAATGTGTGAATTCGCTGATCAAACACCTAGACTGATAATGAATGGATAAGTCTCTGTTTGGTTATTTGGATAAGAATCCACCTCACATGATACGTATCTAAGAAATATCTTAGATTCTCGAAGTTATCGAGAGTGGAGGCACCCATGAACATACCTATTATGATTAAAAGAAAATACGAATTGTAACAATCATTGTTCACCAACCTTCTTCAATTCTTTCATTGTTGTTAGACTCTCTATTTTCTACTGTATTTGTTTTCCAAAACTTTCCAAATATTCTCAGCAAAAGTTTCCAAGGGTAGTTCTTACATTATGTCAATTGTGGTTTTTCGACACCCTGAACCACCCGTAACGCCGGACACTTAAAAATTACCTAACGCAGACTCATGTCCCAAAAATATGATAATTTGAAATTTCGGAATAGTATTGAGCAAATTAGGTCGAGGCACTCAATGACAGGCATAGCGTAATAGCTCATAAAATGACAACAAGGTAGCAGTTTTTTTAGAGGTTGAGGTATTCCTTTTTTTCGTTTCAATTTCTTAAGG